GCCAATCATTCCAGGCTACAGCTTGGGTATTCGTATTTTTACGCCATGTACGAAGGACACGCACTCTTATTTTAGGACGGTATAGATCAGCTGCAATATTAAAATTATTATATTCTTATATATAATATGTACTCCTACCAGGAAATTATTTGCATAAATTAATATTTGTCTAAATTCTAAAATAAAAACTTTTTTAAAAGATTTAAAAATATAATGCAGCAAAAAATGGTTATTCTCTTTAAAGATTAAAATAAAATAAAAAGATACAAAATAATCAGAATATGTAGATAAATCAAAATTTGTAAAAGGATACTCACAGGGTGTTGATAATTCACTAATCTTGTGTTTATTGCGTATTATTTCTAAGGTCTGAAATAACATAATATTAGTCTTTCAATTCAAGATTTATAATTATTATATTAACAGTTACATTTCACAAAAAAGTTACATTAAAGATCTATATTATTACTGACTTAAAATGTTTTGCTAAACAATCTGCCTGCTTTTGTTATCTTTTATTTTTGCTTTGTATTTTTATTCGAAGAAACCTTCTAGACAAGTTTCAGTTTCATTCTACAACTCTCAACCATTTACTAATGGTAGTAACGACGATAGATACCTCGGCATTGATTTTAAGTAGCCTATTCCTTTGCAACATCACAGTGACCTCGGGTGAGGTCCGTCTGCTTTCATCGGGAACAAACAGAGGATGTAATACAGCGGGCCAATCGTACAAGTCCAGGGGAAACTCTCCAATGGAATTAGCATCGACGGCCGTGACGCCGTTACTGATGACCTGACTAGCGACGACCTGCTGTTGCTGACCCTCCTGCTGGACGATCGAGCTGTCGTTCGAATCATTCCCGGTTTCCACTCCCGAGTCTATCGACGTCATGTTTACATTACAGCACGCAACACTACCGCTGATACCACTGTGATCGGGTAGCACCGCCTCTCGCCCTCGCGAATCCGCAACGTCGTCCATCGGTATAATTTGTCTCACAGAGAATTTATTAGAAATTAACTCACGTATCAAGAATAGGATTAACGAACAATCGAACTTTTCGCTCTACTTTTAACAGCCTTGAGAACTTCACTCTGACAGCTTTCTTAACTGTTTCTTAATCATCTCTCTCTCTTTCTCCTCTTCATACATACCTCCTACTTACTCTTATTACCTATTGCTTATTTGCTCCTCGGCGCTGTGTCACGTGACAATATAGACATCATATAATTGGTCCTGACTGCGATTGCGACTCGAAAAATGGACGGACGACCAAAAAGTAATCGCGAGTCTGACGAGTCGTAATCCCTGGCCGTTGCTTCCTGATTGGTCGAAAAAAAGTCGCAGTCGCAATTGCGGCCGCAGCCGCGAGTCATTGGGCGAGTTCAAGACAGCAAAGCGGCTAGGCGCTATGCTTGCCGAGCGAATGAGTATGATTGGTTCTTACTTAAGGATCCAATCAATCATGTTTAATTGCCCGGCGAGCAGACTTAGCCATTTTGTTGACTTGAACACACCCATTAGTGTAATACAGCTTTAAAGCCGGTTCTACATTAGTTGCTAGCTGATCGCAAGTTTGTTGCGACAGCCAATCTGAAACTTGCATTTTGAAATCAACGCAAGAACCGACTTTAGGTAAAATATGTATTTTATAATTCGAAGTTGCACTTTTACATTCAAATTAAATCAGCGTACAACTGCATTAATATATGTACATCAGTGCGCAGTAGTTCTTCCAATCGAATTCGCCATATGTAACCGAATTCTTAAAAACCGCAGCACAGACTTTTGCATAACGCATAGTGCATAAGCGAATCAACTAATCAGAATCTTTCCTTTCCTCCCATTCCACGGAAAAGAAGAATTTCGATTGTTTGATTCCCTTATGGTATATTCACACAACTTGCATAGTCACATAAACGTATGCATAAAGAAAATTATCCAATCACATTTTACGTGCGCCTTCATAGGAGAAATGCGATTGGATAATTTTCTTTATGCATACGTTTATGCGGCTATGCAAGTTGTGTGGACATATACCCTTACATACTGTGTATTATGCATTATGCAAGTCTGTGCTGCGGCCTTAAGCGGCGAGCACAGATTCTTGCATAACACATAAAATATAAGGCATAAGAAAATCAATCAATCAGAATCCTTAATTTTATGGAAAGGAAGGAAATAAAAAACTTTGATTGGTTCATTTTCTTATGCATTATGTGTTATGTGTTATGCATAAAAAAATATACCAATTAAAATCCTCCGTTTTTTTCCCTTCCGTAAAATAAAGAATTCTGACTGATTCTTAGGGCCATTCCACACAAACTTGCATAACCGCATAACCATATGCATAAAGAAAATTATTCAATCACATTTCTGCCATAAAGACAAACGATTGGATAATTTTCTTTATGCGGTTATGCAAGTTTGTGTGGAATGGCCCTTATGCCTCATGTGTTATGCGTTAAGATGTCTTTTTGTGCTGACGCTCAATACTCATTTTCAGCGTCAATATAGATTACGTAATCAAAATTGACGCTTGATATTCGTCAATTTCTATCACGTGACTTATTTTAACGCTGAAAATGAGCGTCGAGCGTCAGTATGAAAAGGCACCTTTAAGCAGTCTGTGCTCCCACTTTATCTATTTCTTTTCTTTGCACTCATTTTCCGACAATAGGTGCATCCAGAAGCA